TTCTTGCTGGTTGGTAGGTGATCAAATACTTATTTCATGCAATAAAATGGAAATAAATTATTTAAAAATCTAACAATGTGATTTTCTGGAATTTTTTAGTAGATTCTGTCTCTCACAGTTGAGGTGTACCTACGATGAAGATTACAGAACTGTCCAACTGTCTATTCTCTGTAAGTAGGAAAAACTTGAAAAATCGGCAGTGTATCAAATGCTTATTTGCCTCACTGTATAATAAATATGTAATCAAACAAACATCCAGTTAGTGCATTGGGTATGTTTATGTCGGTCTAACCCAGTTTTCAGTCTGCTCTCTTCATATTCAGCCTTATCCTTCTTTTTTTCCCTTGTACTCTGATGTCTTGTCTGATTGCTTGAGCAGCTTGAAGGTGACACCAAAGCGTTCTGAAGTCACAAACTCTTCTCTGTCTCCCTGATTTCTTTCTTCTTTCTCTCTGTCTTCTGTCTGTCTCTCTCTGCTAGCCTCTGTCCTCTGGTTAGATTCTGCCTTATTCCATCTGTTAACAAACACAGGCGCATTTGTGTATCTGGGGCTGTGTTTTCTGTGGATGTTTGTATCTCTGATTCTCTCTGTAGGCTGACATGCTTCCACCAACGCTGCTGACATTGACTCAACTCCTGAACGCCCACAATGCCCCATCCTGGCTCAAAGCCACTTTATGAAAGTGACAAGTAGCCATTTTTCTGTACCAGACAAATATAAGCTTTTTAATGGCTTGAACGCCACTGGAGGAGTAAGAAATAACTTAGTTCTCTGAGTAATGTTTTCAAGTCCCCCCTTTTTCAAACAACTTGGTGTGTTTTTCTCTTGAATACTGTCATGGATTGAAAGTTGTGTCAGCCTTTGGAACAGCATGAAGCCAACATCCTAACATATTTAATTCTGAGCATTACAATTCTATAATATATGTTGACTACCAAACTAACCACTGAGAAGCAGTCATGTGGTATGTGTATTGTAAAGGAAATGTGTCATAACTAACTACACATGTTCACACCTACACACTATACATTACAGTCTGCTACACCTTTAATTGGCCTTCATTATGTCGTAAAGGCAAATTATCAGTGTTGTATGTTTTTATCATGTCACCCCATTTTATTAGCATAAAAATTGTCATGTACCTCTTCTAAAACCAAACCAATGAAATTCTCTATTTTATATTTTAAATTCAAAGCTAAGTCAGGGATCCAAACATGGAGCAATGGTGAGTACAAACTATCCCACAACACAGCCCTGAACCATTTCTCACAAGTCTGAAACACAAACTCTAAGCATTTCTTATCCTTGCTCTTTTTTAACAGTAGCTTAAGAACACTGTAAATGGGCAAATGCCATAGCTGTGAGACAGAGGGGTTGTGATTCACAACATGAATTAACACTGCCTGTACTTCAGGATGTACTTCTCTAGTTGATAGTGTCAAGGAAGCTGCGTTTGAGTTTATCTGAGGGAACTTTTGTGATTTAGCTGACAAAAAGGTTGAGAATCACTATTCTAGGAGTCCACAGCCGAGTGAGCTCATATCAAATAAAATTCATCTGACAGATTCCTTCAGACGATAAGAGATGACAAGAGGTCAGGCTTGTGTGAAACAGTCAAACAAGAATTCCAACAGAAGTTAATTTCCTGGCAACTGTTGACTTGAATGCTCTCCATCACTGATCAATAATAGGCATCAAGCATTGAGAACAAACAAGACTGGATCAAGCACATCAGGGAGGTGATCCAGGAGCGCACCATTCACCTGAGAGGCGCACTCAAAGAGCCCATTCATATTCCGAAAGCAACTACAGCAAAGCACCACAAGGGACGAAGGTAAACATGACAGCTTCAATTTAAGATGTAATTATTCACCAAAAGGGCAGTTTGATCCCATTGGTCACATTTTATTGATAATGTATGTGTCTGTTAGGGATGGAGAGGACTTGGACAGTCAGGGTGAAGGCAGCAGCCAACCAGACACCATCTCACTTGCATCCCGCACTTCACAGAACACACTGGACAGCGATAAGGTGGGAACAAATGCATGCTGATGTTCCAAAATAATGTCCTAATTGCACACATTCATCAGTTACTGTAGAAGAACACTAAAATCTCTCTAGCTAAGCATGTTTCACATCTGGCATTATTGTTCACCTTTGCCTGTTGTTCTTGGGACAAATATTACATGAAAACCAGCTCTTGATTGTCTCCTCTCTCTCAGCTCTCTGGTGGCTGTGAGCTGACTGTGGTGATACACGACTTCATGGCCAGCAATAGCAACGAGCTGACGGTGCGACGTGGCCAGACAGTGGAGGTTCTGGAGCGTTGTCATGACAAGTCAGACTGGTGCCTGGTCAGGACCACAGACCGCTCCCCTGCCCAGGAGGGCCTGGTGCCCTGCTCCATGCTCTGCATTGCTCATTCTAGATCCTCCATGGAGATGGAGGGCATCTTCAACCACAAGGGTACAGGATGTGGTGTGAATGGTCAGTTTAACAGTGTGTGTCTGTTGGGGAGGAAAGGATATTTGTTCACTGCTAAAGGAATGTTATACACTTGGGTTGAAACAAAAACTCATTAGATACTTTGTAAATGTCTGCATCATGAAGCAGATTTAAACCATAACACTATTTTGACTTTCACAGACACTCTGTCGGTGTGCAGCAATGACTCCATCATACCAGGGTCGTCTGCTACGCTCCAGCCGGGTCACGGCATTGGCTCCCACACATCACCTGGCCCTAAGCGTCCAGGTACCTGTGCCATATTTTTTGTTGTGTCTGTTCTCTGAAAACCCGGTGAAAGTGTACAAAACTCAAAAAAGTAACATCAGAACAATGTGCAAAAGAATCACTTTTGTAATTTTACATTACAAAGGTAATCAAATTTTTCCTATACAAGTTACTTGGAACTGTATTCTGTATGAATATGATTTATGCCAACTATTAAATTAAATGTTGGGGATAAAATCTTACCAAAACTGTATGTTTAGCTAGGTTTTCGTTCCTCTGTTATTTGGCTATGTGGTTTTAAATGATCTTATATACTGCAGTAAGCTGAGGATGACGTTTCTGGTTTATTCCTAGGTAACACTCTGAGGAAGTGGCTGACCAGCCCAGTGCGTCGGCTAAGTAGTGGCAAAGCAGATGGCCATGTGAAGAAACTGGCCCACAAGCACAAGAAGAGCCGCGAGGTGAGGAAGAGTGGAGAAGTGATGGTTGGCTCCCAGAAAGACTCAGACGACAGCGCCGCTACACCTCAGGAAGAGACCATAGAGGAGGTGGGTGGATATACCTCTGACCAGGCTTCTGTGCAGTATTGTGTATTAATCTATACTTTGCTGTCCATGTGTGTTGCAGAGGGTTCGTAACGAGGGCTTGTCAAGTGGCACTTTGTCCAAGTCCAGTTCTTCAGGCATGCAGAGCTGTGGGGAGGAGGAGGGCGAGGAGGGTGCTGACTCAGTACCTCTGCCTCCACCTATGGCCATCCAGCAGCACAGTCTGCTGCAGCCAGAATCACAGGATGACAAGGTGAGGAGAGGGAGGATGTTACAGTGGGGACAGAAGACAGGGGACAGAGAAAAGGGATGGAAGCAGGTGATGAGATGAAGAGGAGAAGCAGGGGAGTGATATATGTTTGGGTCTGGGATACAAACTGTATTCACCTTTGATTTTTAACATTTTTTGCTTCACAGTATTCTTTAAATTTAAATTAGATTGGACACAAGTTATTTCTTCCTTATGGAATTGGGGGGCTAGTCAAATCTAGATGTCATGATATTAGTCTAGGCACTATCAAGGATTTTTGTTCATCTGAATATGGCAACACAGCTATAATATTATATTTTACTGATCCTAAAGGCTGCAGTGCACCTGGTTATTTTCAGTAGTCTAAAAACATTTGTCAGTGAGATGAATTTTCGCTGACTGTAGATGTTTGGCCATCATACCATAATTCCACAGATCAGATTTAATTTGTTTCTCAGAATGCAGTGTAAATAATTACCTTTTAAAGGCTCCAACCACTGTGCCTAATGTTATGTCCTGTTATAAACACTGGGATTTGTTGTTTAAAGTTACAGAATGTGAGATTTAACATAGCCACTATTGCTCAGTCTCTAGAGAACTGCTTTATTTGTACCTTTGTTGAGAACAGTATTATCCCTGGATTTTTAAGTACTTAACATGGGGTGTGAAGTGTTTTCTGTATACTATAGGTGTGTCCTTAAGAAAAAGCCACATATGATCCTACCATCAACTTAAGAAGCTGACTATGGAAGTCAGTAATGAAACAGTACTACATGCTTTGTACAAGAAAATGTGTACAAGGTCGACAGGGTAGATGGCTTTTGCAACATTTATATCAAATGAGTACGACATATTTTTGAGCAACAACAGTAGCTAATGTAAGCACTATCTGTCATCTTAAATTAAATATATATATTTTTTGCAGGCTCTCTTTTGTATCATTGCTGTTATGATTTTTAATTCCTGTTAGTTACATTTTCACTCATGTCAAGTCTGCCACTTTTTACAAAAAGGACATTTCCTGACACAGTTTTAAGTGACTCCTTAGTTTCTGTTATGCATAACATTTTATCTTGGCATGTTGCATCATATTCTCCCCTCTCTTCTAAAGCAGAAAGCAAAGAAACATTTCAGGCAGTCCAAGTCTCCTCCTCGACTTAAGCGAAGACCCCTCTGACACTAATTTCTGTTTCTCTTTTGTTTTGTTTCCTGGTTGTATCGTTTGCTGTTTGCCATGCTGTAGCATTACCTTGATTTCTGTCCTGTCTTTGCTTTGTCTCAGTTTCCATACCTCTCCATCTGAAAAGCCCCATTCTTCCCCCTCTGTCTCTTCCCTTAGTCAGTTCTTCAATTCTCTTTTTCCCGCGCTCTTCAGCTTTAAATGCTCCTTCCTAACTTCTTTTTCTTTGATTTCCATAACAGTTTTCACAGTAGAGTGAAAAGAAATGATGCTTGCAGTTCTTTTTAAAATACACCTCTCTGGCCCATAAAAGTCACTCTTCTCTTAAGCACTCCTGATTTTCTTTACTGTAGTTTTTTCCTCACATCTTTCTTAGTTTCACTTGTTTTGACTTCTGCCCTGTTTCTTCAACACACCGCTGTAATGGAGAGTCACCTGGTAGATGAGCAAGAGCATGCATGAAGGGAAAGTGTAGATGTAAAGCGGATGCATTTAGCTCCTATCTCTAAATAAAAAGTAGTGTGGAGGGTTTTTCTTTTTGTTCCAGTGCACATCAGGAGGCTGTAGTGCCTCAACTTTTATAGTTTTTGAGGAAATTTTGAATTTGCCTTGAGTGGGATAGAAGAACACAGGACTCCATCTTTTTTAACTGCATGTTTATCATTCAAACTCTATGTTGGAAGGAGGTTGGTAAGTGATTAAAACAAGCACAAATAGGAGAGTATGTCAGATTGTCACCTGTGCTGGCATCTGCCCTCCGTAGACATTTTAAAGCGACCCCATGCTGAGGAAAAAATTTAAAAGCCCCCCCTGTTCCCATCACCCCGCCCTCTCACTACTCCCTTCCTCACCTGCCCCTGCCCGCTCGTCCTCATCTCCCTTTTACCCTCTGTGCGTTAACGTCATTACCCATGCGAGTAATTGGCATCTCTAAACGCTGGCGAGGCCAGAAGGGCACACAGCCTCACCCAGAAAACCTAATTGAGGAAAGTCTTGAAGCGCAGCACAGCAAGGGTGAGAGACTCCTAAACTATATATATACATACATACATACATATGCCTCTTTCATTCTCGCTCTATTAGCATATTCTCTTTATTTCAAAGGCTGTTCATCATCACCTGAGAAGGCAACAGAAATATCTACCAGTCAAACATCACTTTATTTCCTCCTCATCACTATTTTTTGACATTTCACTTTTTTCCCCACTTCTTAATTTCATTCACCCATTTTCGGCCCCATGCTTTTACCGTTTCACTGACAGTTTTAAAATTTCATGCACATCTCCTTTTCACTTTCTTTTAACCTTTAGCTGTAAACTCCTAGCACTGGGGTTTCACTAATGGAAGCATCTTTTTTGGATCTCTTTAAATTCCAGCATCGAACATGTAACCAACATTTTCACTAAGTCATCATTCACACAAATAGCTAAAGTAAAACCTTCACTTATAATAAAATTAATAAATAAGATACTAACAAAAGCTAAGCATGAAGTTAATCTTAACCAAAAATTAAGCATGGCATTTAACCATAAATTAATATTAAGCTTTTTTTTTTTTTTGCTATCCATTTGTGGACTATTCTAAGTCATTGTATGTGGGTTCACATTCATGGGTTCAATAAGTCGAATTTTTTTACAGTATTTATTGTTTTAGATATGAAGAAGTTGCTGTTTTAAATGGCAAATGTAGTAGGTCCCTTTAAATGACTTAGGTCATTTCAATGGTTAAGTAAAGCTTTTATTAGTTATAAACTATGGTACGGTTACTCTTTTAATTGCCACTATTTTCTCTGTATGGAGAGTTAGCAGAAAATGTTGTTGGAGTGTATGGCTTACCAGGTTCTTATGCTTGTTCTTTCTCCGTCCTCTCATCTGTCCATTTTTGCACAGACTTCTTCTCGTCTGTCGGTTCGTCCATCCAGTTCAGAGACGCCCAGTGCCGCTGAGCTGGTGAGCGCCATCGAGGAGCTGGTCAAAAGCAAGATGGTAAGAAAACAAGAACACGCTAACCTTTATGTATCATCACATTCTAAGTTTAAGAATGTATTGACATAGTGGTCTTCAGGTGACGTCTTTACAGTTAAAATGTGACATTTTGTTTTAAAAGCTCTTCTATTGAATAGATTTCTTCATAAAATTTGAGTTAAGTTGAGAGTCTTGTATTTCATTATGCTTAGGAATACTGACCTTACTTTATTTAAAGAACACCTGTCAGCTCCAAGATAAATATAATTTATTTTAATTAACATGATCTACTGTAAATAATCAGCCTAACTGACCCAAAGACTTCTTCCCCCAAACATTTGTTAATATTCTGTTTTGTTTTGGTTTTTTCCTCCTGGTGCAGGCTCTGGAGGACAGACCCAGCTCTCTGTCAGTAGAACAGGGAGACAGCAGCTCTCCCTCCTTCAACCCTTCTGACAACTCCCTCCTCTCCTCCTCCTCCCCCATGGAAGAGATGGATGAACGCAGAGTCAGCATCCTCAAGAAAAGACAGTACGTCCACTAGCTTAATCATGTGTGTTTTACACACACACACACACACTGAGGCGTTTCAGGGATGTTTGGAGAGTTTTCTAGATTCCTTTGATTTTAAGTCCAAGATCTTTTTCTTTTTCTTTTGCGTTAGTTATGTTTTGCTGGAGTTGGTGGAGACGGAGAGAGATTATGTGAGGGACCTCAGCCTGGTAGTGGAGGTGAGTCGATACTTATAATTAGTTGTACATTACTACAGATCTGTCTGAACTATTATTGGTTTTCTAGTGGGCTCTTTGGTGGTAAGTCAATCAGAGCAGTTTTATTTTAACTTTTCTAGAGTTTAAGATGTCACAAAGTATCTGAATAATTTGCTCATAGCTCTTGTAAATTTGTGATTGTGTGTCTCCATCTTAAGGGCTACATAAGCCGCATAAAGGAGGAGGGTATCCCTGATGATATGAAGGGAAAAGACAAAATTGTGTTTGGCAATATCCATCAAATCTATGACTGGCACAAAGAGTAAGTAGCGTGCACATATGGAGAATGCAGAGCTTCCCCTGTTTATGTTCATTAGTGCTGTAGCTTACGTCCTCTCTTCTGTGTCTGTATTTTTTCAGTTTCTTCCTCAGTGAGTTGGAGAAATGCTTGGAGGACCCTGACAGACTGGGACCCCTCTTTCTCAAACAGGTGCATTCGCAGCAAATTTGCAGATTCTGCTTTATTTGTACATGCTTGTAATGTATACATTTGATCACACTGTGAATGTGTGTGCTTTGTGTATCCAGGAACGGAGACTAAACATGTATGTGGTGTACTGTCAAAACAAGCCCAAGTCAGAGCACATTGTCTCAGAGTACATCGACACCTTCTTCGAGGTAAAGGCTGTTACAAACCATGTGACATACTTGATGTCGCTGCCAGGCTCTCCACTGACCTCTGAAGTCTTTAGGGATCTTAAAACATTGGTCTGATTTGAGGGTCTAAGGACGGGATGTCGTATGATGTACAGACTGTAAGGCCCTTGTGGCAAACCTGTGATTTTGGGCAATACAAATAAAATTTGACTTGACTTGACTGTTGTTAGGATCTGAAGCAGCAGCTGGGACACAGGCTACAGATAACAGATCTGCTCATTAAGCCAGTTCAGAGGATCATGAAATACCAGCTCCTGCTCAAGGTTGGTCTGCTTCAGTACAGCAGGAGGCACCAGAGCTCTATCTGCTGTATATGTTGCCCCTTTTTTTGTCTTACCTTCTGCCATCTACTGCATATTTCTTATTTCCTTACTATAATGTACACTAGTGTTAATGTGTAGTGTTCTTTTAATTTATCTGCAAATGTTTCCATTTTAGGATTTCCTGAAACACTCTAAAAGGGCTGGCCTGGAGTCAGCGGAACTGGAGGTAAGAAAAGACATACAAGTCTTAAATGCTTACAATTAAGAAAAATCTGTTCAGGAATCCCACCAACCTTCTGAACATTTCTGCCTCTTGCAGAAAGCAGTGGAGGTCATGTGCATTGTGCCGAAAAGGTGTAACGACATGATGAATGTTGGCCGGCTTCAGGGATTTGATGTAAGGAAATGATATAGTGATAGAAAATGATGCTATAAACTAAGATAACATATGTTTCAAAACCTGAATTGGCCAAACTTAACTTGTAGTGTCCCATTCTGTTTCTTTCCAATATCTGATCTTCCCATTTCCATCTTGTTTATCTCTCTCTCCAGGGAAAAATCGTGGCCCAGGGCCGCCTTTTACTACAGGATACGTTCATGGTGTCTGACCCCGAAGGTAGTCTGCTCGGTCGGATGAAGGAGAGGAGAGTCTTCCTCTTTGAGCAGCTGGTCATCTTTAGTGAGCCCCTAGACAAGAAGAAAGGGTTTTCCTTGCCTGGCTTTCTCTACAAGAACAGCATCAAGGTAACGGACATGTGAGGGGGGTAAAGATGTGCACAACTTAGGTAACTTTCAATGAAGATCAGTGGATGGATGAATAGCTGCCACTCATAAAACAGTTAAGATTTGGATTTACATCTATGTAAAGTCATATTTTATTTTGGACAAAGACTGTCTTAAGCAATATCCACAAACTCGACTACGGTTTATGGCAGCTTTTAAGATTTTGAAGACATAATTACCTGATTTATTGAAACACAATAAACACAGTGTTTACAATGGAAGAGTAAGCTAATTGAAGAAAGACAAAAGTTACTCATCAACAAAAATATAAAATCTTAGAAGAGAGGTATCAGGTAAACAGTTTCTCATTCTGTAGGTCAGCTGTCTGGGCCTGGAGGACAATGTGGAAGGTGATCCCTGCAAGTTCATTCTCACTTCTCGGTCGACCAATGGCACCGTGGAGTCCTTTGTGCTGCACTCCTCCCACCCAGGGGTGCGAGAGGTCTGGACTCTTCAGATCAGCCAGATACTTGAGAGCCAACGCAACTTCCTCAATGGTGAGCTCACACACGCACACGTACAGAGTACATGTTTTATAGAACAAACTGTTTTGCTACGTGTTTGGCCTCATCTCTTTTGTACCTCATCACAGCTCTGACCTCACCAATAGAGTTTCAGAGGAACCACTTAGGGGCAAGCAGCGGGTCATGTGTGCCCAGCCTAGGAGCTCCAGGTGGAGGTAGCAGTGGGTCCAGTGCACCTCTTACAGTTGGAGGTGGAAGCTCCCAAAGCAGCTCCTTCCCTTCAGGACCCCAGGGTGGCTCTCGTCGTCCCTCCAGGATCCCCCAGCCCTCCCGCCTGCCCCAACCCCTACGGCACCACACTGGAAATGACCCTGATGGCCCCAACAGAATGTCAGGTATGGAACATGTATCTAGATTTGTGAGATGGTGCAAAATGTGGCTGAGTTGTGAGTTTTGCTCACTTATGATCCAGGTGTGTCCCCTCGTTCTGTCCCTTCTCCCCTGCTCCCTCCAGGGGGTAGCCCAAAGGGCAAGCGCCCCCGCCAGATCCAGGTGGACCAAGTAGAGAACCCCACTCTTGCCAGTGCTGTAGCCCCTATCCCCCATGCCATGGTTGGGCCTCTGCCCTCCACACCTACTTCCAAGCCACAGCCAGAAGCCATGACCCCTATGACCACTTCTGCTTCTGGCAAAGATGTCCTTCCCCCACCCCCCCCTAGTCCCAGCCAGAAGTCTGGATCTGGATTCTGGAGTTCCATGCCAGGCTCCCCAGCCAGCCGGCCTGGATCGTTCACCTTCCCTGGGGACGCAGGAGACAGTCCAGTCCGTCAGAACTCAAACCAGATCCAGACTGGTTCTGGATCTGGGAGCCAAACCCACAGACACTCCACACACAGCAAGGAGGCAGACCGCATGAGTACATGCTCATCAGCCAGTGAGCAGTCCATCCAGTCCACCCAGAGTAATGGGGTAAGACTACTACCTGCTACCCCTTGCTGCTCCGACTAACACCAGGGCAGTGGAGGCCTGGTCTATCCTGTCTGCCTGCTGTAGGAAGTGCTACTAATCTGTCCCCTACTATGCATCTCTGAGAACCTTCACTGCTCTTCAGCATCATCCTCTTTAGCTTCACAGTCTAGCAGAAGTTTCTACTGTTTGTCAACGTTTTCAGGTCCAGAACCTCTCTAATGGACCTTGCTCAGCTCTTCAGCGATTCTTTTTCCAGGCTGTCTTTAGATTTCTTGATCCTAAAAAAGCTTGTACTAACACCTGACTTCCTGTTGGCCATCCTTCACCTCCTGCTGTCTTCATGGTCTGTTACTCAAAACTTTTCCTGCAACTAACCTCTGACGTTTGTGGTTCACCTACAAATGTAAATAATAGAGATCTTCTCGTGTATGCCTAGAGCTGCAGAGCAAAGACAAGTGAAATGGATCTTTTTATCTTATCCCTGCCTTGCTTCATTCATTTACCTTTTTTCCAGGAAGTAGTAATGAGCCACTATTTTTGGCTTTCTTGCATTTTAATCTAATCTTTTGCAAAGTATTGTCATGGGACAGTAAACTATTTTCGGTGCTAATTTATTTTCCCTCATTGGTACTTTTCTCACCAAAACTAATGATCTTGTATTTTCTCTTCTCATTTAGATTTAAAAATATTTTGTCTTATTGTACCTACTGCCTCTGAATCTTGAGATGTTTTCCATTTAACATCAGGTTGTACATGCCCATGTTTCCTCCTTGTGGTGCAGAGTGAAAGTAGCAGCAGCAGTAGCGTATCCACCATGTTGGTGACCCAGGACTACATCGCTGTGAAGGAGGATGAGATCAGCGTCATTCAGGGCGAAGTGGTCCAAATCTTGGCCAGCAACCAGCAAAACATGTTCTTGGTGTTCAGGGCAGCTACCGAGCAAGGCCCTGCTGCCGAAGGCTGGATCCCCGGATTTGTGCTGGGACACACCTCGGCCATCGTCCCTGATTGTCCCGAGGGATCCATCAAGTAAGACCTCTGAAGAAAGGATAACTTTTTCTTTTCAGATGGGTTTTAGAAATTAACTATTAATTGTACATTTACATTCTAGTATTTATAACAGACTACATTCACATTAGAGGTAGGGATTGACTATACCCTAGCTAATAACAGTAAGCAACTATTGACTGAACAAACTGGCAGAACAAAATTTAATGCCAGTAGCTTAGATGAGGAATTCATGTGTTTCACACGTTGGCATTTACCTGTCAAGGCTAAAACCCATGCTTTTAATTTGTAATCGAAAATACCTTTTTTGTGACATTTTCATGTACCAGTAAGAAGTCTTCATCCTGGCACACGTCCCTGCGGATCCGAAAGAAGTCTGAGAAGAAGGAGAAGGAGGTGAAGAAAGAGACCAAGCTGGAAAACGGTTACAGGAAGTCCAGAGAAGGCCTGGCCAACAAGGTTTCTGTAAAGGTGAGCATCAGTACACCTCATGAGTGTATAATGCTGCTCTTCAGTCACACTTCTACATTTTTCCATCTGACATCTTTTTACTCTAATTCCAGCTTTTAAATCCAAACTACATCTATGATGGTAAGTTTTAACTTTGCGGGACTGTGTTTATTTGCAGAGTAACAATAAATTCATATATTCTCACTTAACAGTTACTGTTTAACATTGTTACAGTTAAAGATTTAATCCAAGATATTCTCACCTTTCTTTCCTTTCAGTTCCCCCAGAGTTTGTAGTACCACTGAGTGATGTGACATGTGACAATGGAGAGAGCATCACCCTCAGGTGTAAGGTCTGCAGTCGACCCCGGGCCACTGTCACCTGGAAAGGACCCAACCAGAGCAACCTCACCAACAACGGACACTTCAGCATCGCCTACAGGTAAGAAAACACAGCATTTTATGGAATTATTGCAGGGCATTGTGCACAGCGGACTCTGTGTTAACCAGAAAATTGATGCACAATAGTGAGGAAATTCAACGTTGAGCTTGGGTGAACATTAATATGTGCGTTTGTTTCAGTGATACAGGTGAAGCTACGCTGCGGATAGTTGGCGTAGCCTCTGAGGATGATGGTGTGTACACTTGTGTCGCCACAAATGAGCTTGGCAGTGTGATGTCATCAGCTACCCTCAGAGTGTTAGGTGAGAGCACCGACACAGAAAAGACAGTTTAATTCTGTTTTAAAGGTGATCTGACGTTGCAGGTGCTAAGTGTGAACATTGATTTTCCTCAGCTGTGTCCACTGATGGGATCAGAGTGAGCTGGAAAGACAACTTTGAGTCTTACTACACTGAGGTGGTTGAACTGGGAAGGTAACTGACTGACCTTGATGTCTCACTGGTTAGACCAGTGAATAGGTTTTTCCTCAACACTGTGTCAGCATTGGCCTTTCTTTAACACTAACTGATCCTCCATCTTCCCACCAGGGGTCGTTTCTCTGTCGTCAAGCGCTGTGACCACCGGGGCACAAAGCGTACGGTGGCAGTCAAACAAGTGAACAAAAAGTTGATGAGGAGGGACAGTGTGACTCAGGAACTCAGTCTCCTCCAGAGGTTCCAGCACCCCCACATAGTCGCTCTGATAGACACGTACGAAACCCCCAGCAGCTACGTCCTGGTCCTAGAGATGTGAGTACACATAAAACAAGACCACATGAGAAGTTCTGGAATTAATCCCTACTGATGTGTAGCGCCTCAGTGTTTGTTTCATTTGATGTTTGGTTTTGTGTTTCAGGGCCGACCAAGGCCGTCTGCTGGACTACATTGTTAGCTGGGGGAATCTGACAGAGGAGAAAGTGGCCTGCTACCTACGGGACGTTTTAGAAGCTTTACACTACCTGCACAACTGCAGGATAGCACATTTGGACATCAAAGTAAGTTCTTTCACCTTATTGTGTTTATTACTACACTTGATATTACATAACTGAGCAAGAGTGTAAAAAGCATTGCCATTACACACTGATATACATGAAAAGGCAGGGGATGTCGAGTTGTTCTCCTAATGAGGCAAAAAAAAAAAAAACTGTGCTACTATGGAGACTGGAACATATATGATGAGGATCTGTGGTTTCCATACTCGTTGCTCATTTTCCCCTCTTTCACTGCACTTAACTGATAAGAGTATCAGACAGAGTTAGATGAGAAGATTAAGTTATGACACTTACTTGTGTGACATGTGAAGTCAGCAGTTACTATGACCCACAATCCTCCATAAAACTACAACTTGTAATTTCATGTATTTGTCCATTGTGATAACTGTTATTTAGTAGACTTTAGAGATGCTGGTATGTGGCTTTTGCCATCTTCAGGTTGGATTATTTTTCCACCCTTCATGCTAAGAAAACTAACTAGCTGCAGAGTCGTATCAATCTTCCCATCTAGCTCTCAGCAACAAAGCAAAGAAGCATACATTTCCTGAAACAATAAATAATCCATCCAGATGTAGTTGCCTCCCAACATTAAGTTTAACTATGACAGTATGAAATACATTTTTATTGCTGCAGTTACTACTTAATGTAATAATTCGCTAAATCTCAATGCAGCGTTCCAAAGTAGTTCATGTACAGTCCACTTGCTATGTGTATGGCACTACAGTTCCTAGAGAGAGGGTGTCCAGGGTGTGCTATATGTCCAGGGGCAGGGGACATATAGCACAAGGAACACTTGGTAGTCAGCAGAGTAACTCCACCACTACCTTCCTTGCCAAACACCATACAGAAGCACTGCCCACCTAAAGCCGTGTTGTACACAAACCAAGTGGCGCTTGGTGCATCAAGACAGAGTTCCTTCTTTAACAGACAGACATGGGTACTTGACGAGAATTTGAAGGGCTGATGCTGATGTGGTCGGGGCACTTTGCATTTCCACTGCATTTTCCACTGTGTCCATTTACTCAAAGCCAAGGCTGCTCTGCTCACACAGGTGAGCAGGGAGCCTCTAGTCAGTGATCACAGTGCTCGTTAATCATGGTGCAACCTAATCATCCAGTAACGGAGACCATATGAGCACTTTAACAAACAGCTGTTGAACAAGCAGTACATGCCTGCGGTGACCTCACTGAAGTTCCCATTTTACCTCTAAACCAGCATGAGTGATGATGTCCCTGTCTGTAAAGGTCTACCCTCTCCCCAGATAATGTAGACATCCTCATCTTTCTAACTTTTAAGGCTTTATTTAAACGTGTTGTTGTCACTTAAGACCATGGGCAAAGAAGCAAGTAAACAAGAGTAATAGAGACTTGTCTCTTTTCTTTGCTCCTGTTCCAGCCTGAGAACCTGCTGGTGGCCCACACCCCCAGCGGCCAGCCAGTGGTCAAACTCACAGACTTTGGTGATGCTGTCCAGCTCAACAGTGCCCACTATATTCACCCTCTACTGGGCAGCCCTGAGTTTGCCCCCCCAGAGCTGGTCCTTGGAGAGCCGGTGTCACTGACCTCTGATCTGTGGAGCCTGGGCGTGGTGACCTATGTGCTGCTGAGCGGTGCCTCACCCTTCCTGGACGAGAGCACCGAGGAGACCTGCTTAAACATCTGCCGACTGGATTTCAGCTTTCCCGGGGATTATTTCCAGGGCGTCAGCCAGGCAGCCCGGGATTTTGTCTGCATGCTTCTGAGGACTGATCCTGGCAGGAGACCTCCAGCTGGGCTCTGCCTTCAGGAGCAGTGGCTGCAGGCTGGCCTGGCTGAGGGCTGGGCCAAAGCAGAAGGCTTTTTGGACACCTCTCGCCTCATCTCCTTCATAGATAGGAGGAAACATCAGACTGATGCGCGGCCAATCGGAGGAGTCAGGAATTTCATCCAAAGTCGCCTTCAGCATCGAATTTGAAGCCTGAGAAGACATTCATCACTCCATACCAAGCTTGTGTCCATTCTGCCTCATCAGACTAGGCAAAAGCAGAAGGAAACTGGACACACTTCAACTTGTTGTCCTGTGTTGAAATTGCAGGAGCTGCAGGGTCCTCTTGAATCTTGATGGTCTAGATCATTAAAAAAAGAGAAAATGAATGCTGATCTTATCCTCTTTCACAGATTGTTAATAAAGTCCTGTAGTCCCTTCAATTGAATTGAGACCTGCTGAGGTCTTAAGCCAATCAATGGCCAGGAGCTCTCATCAGTCACATAACATAATGGATGCCCTCTGTCTACTGCTGCTGCTTGCTGGTTTAAAATCTCAAAAGATTTTGTAGGTAAGTGATCAAAAATCTAATTTTAAAAATAAGTAATTTATTTTCCAAGAGTTGAAGCTGATCAGAAGAACAGCTGCTTGAGCCTTGACGCCGCTGCACAGATGCAGCACTTTCAGGAGACCGTCATGCCAACAGAGCTAGTGATAGCAGTGAGAGCAAACTGCCCTGCCTCTTGTTGCCAGAGAGGGACAAAGACATTGTGGGTTTTGCTCTTTTACACAGACTGTAACTCAGACTTCTGAGAAGCAACCCTTTCTTATAGAAACAATATATAGAAAGGAGAAGTACTGTCTCTACATTTCTAAGAAACAAAATGTAGAAAATGCTCACCGTTTGAAAATTGCTCTGCTACTTTGGACTTTGTAGACAGTGAATGAACTTCTTGACTTCACTGAGACATTTACAGATGGAAACAGAGCTTTTTATGGCAGTGCTTAAACTAAGATACCACGATGACCATGTTGCAAATAACAATGCTGCACTGTCCAATCTGAGAAGAAACCATTGTCTGCTTTTCCTAGAACAAACTTGTGTTGCACAGAGATGTTCAGGCCTTACCATGTATATAGACCTCTGCCTTCGTTCCCCTTACACTCACAGTGGACTCCTGCTTGTGGACAGCAGGACGACAGACTGGCAGAGCCTCAGTGGTAGCAGTGACTGCCAATCAGATGCCAGTGAATGTGGTGGCAAAGGAAAACAAAATTACTGTAAATGCACTCATTGTATGTTATGTTTGATTATCATGTGCAATGTTGCGGCTTTAACATTTTATGCAACTATTTATGAAGACAATGGTTGTATCTGTAATAAATGTAGAGAAAAGCATGTACTTGGTACTGCAAGCACTGCCGGTAGTTTGTGATTATTTGATCTTTGAGTGTTACAACTTCCAGGCCAGGCTGTGCTCGAGGTCACAGTCTACAATCATTCTTTTGATCAAAACTAAGTTAACACTTTTTTGTACTGTATGCCTCTGTAGTATTGGTACACCAAAGTTGCGGTAGCTTTATAGTACTTAATAAAAGCGTTTCATTGTGATTGTGTTTCACTTGAGATAGGGTAATCTGTGAAGTGACTGTTTACACTAGTTGGAGGAACAATGTCATTCAGGCTCCTGTGCTCTTTAATAAAAGGCAGGGATCAAAGAAAGGCATTAAGTCATGTAATTTACAGAATACTGAGCATCATTTACTAAATGATGATCTGACTGTATGTACAGATACTTTTTAGCCAAAATCTTATTTCTATAACTTAGTGTTCCATATTTACAGTGCTGAACATTCAAAAGGATTCTACCCAGAACAGAAGTCACGGACCTCTGGTACCTTTTATTTATTTCAAAGGTGTGCACAGGCCATTTAAAAACCAGAAACATGGACTGGATACCTCAGTTTACTTTTTTTTTCTTTTCGTTATTGTTATCAGTTTTTTTTGTTTCATAAATGCCATTTCTTTTTGTTTTTTTTATCTTTGCATGTATATTTCTTTGTACAGATCATACATATTTTCTCTTGTAAATATTCTCATTTTGCCATCAGTTGTTAAAATTAAAACTAATGAACACATGTATCTGACATTTTAAGTGTTTTTTTTTTCTCATTTGAACTACATTTTTACACTAAGCAAAAATGGAAAGTTGGCATGAACATCAAGTTCAGTGTTTATGAGAGTAGATAAGCGCCATTTCTACACATTTGGTGACTGGACGACTTTCTGGTGTGCTGCCACCATGTTTGCCTCAAACACAACTCCTCTGAGTCAGTTGTCAGACTTGAACTTTGTCTAAACACTTTATGGTTATGAAAGAATAGGGACCTCAACACTGGTTCTCTGTCCTGCACTCAGTTATCTGCAAGTACTGAAACTGAATAATATGGTTAACATACTGGTGTGGCAGATTTATTGGTCTAACCGCACTCAATCACATCAGAGTGTAGATCAAATCACTGTTATACATTTATATGGCATACAACAGCCAGATATGTTATACGTCAGGCTATCAAAACATTCATCTCAGCTGATCTATCATCGGATTTTTAACATGGCCTCAAAAGTCTAGTTTGGGCTTCGTCGAGTGATTTGGGACTGTTTGATTCAAATATTTGACCACTGCCTGTGACGAGTGGTAACAAAGCAGCCTAATGTTTCTTGGCTTTTCATGGACCCACTCTAAAAGTAACATCAAAATATAAGTAGGTCTTCCTATATTATCTTGTGTTTAGGTTCCAGTTAACGGTTAATGATCTACACTGCCTTCCAGTGGCTCCTGGTAGCAAGTGAAACGCTGCTTTCCAGGCCCCAGAGATGATGACTGGGTTAATATTATTTTAGGTGCATAACAGGACTTTGATATTAAATTTTTTCTAGTTAACTTAATATTACCTAATGTACATTATGGCAGCCTGATCTGTCCTTTCTGTCATAATGTATATGTATTCTTTCATACTCACAAGCTGTTGAAACCTTGTGTATAATACTGACATGGGAAATATACCTGCTGTTTCTTGGTGTCCTGTTGATGTGCATATTAGCTAATGCAGGAGTAGCTACCCAGATGCTCCCGAGCTGAAAAAAAATCTCTTGCCTTGCTTTTCATTTCTTCTGACCTGATAGGACTTGTTGCATTTTGTGTGGTCCGTAGTCCTTTTAAGGTTTCAGCTGTTTCACGCTGTGGCCCACTAGAAGCAACTCCTTACTGTGTTTCAGTGAAGACAAAATGATCGGGGCTTTACGTTTCTGTGCGAACAAGAAGATATAAACATAAGCCAACCCAAACAGTTTCAGTGCGGTCTATTGAAATTAGGATGGTTCTCTGCTGACAACTCGGCATGGTTCCTTCCCCAAGAATGAATTTCAGCCCCTCATCTACGGGCAGCTGGGTCAGAGCACACTATTAAAATCCTATCTTTACTGTAACAGACATTTTTGCTCATCCAGAACTTCCACTCGATTCAGTGTAATAGTGCCTTTCAAACTGTTCAGGTTTAATATACAATATGCTAAAGTTTTCACACATGTCCCTCTTTTATAAAGCATACTAAGCAACAGGACAGTGGTTTGAGGTGTCCACACATCCAGTCCAAATAACTGACAATTCCTGACTCAAAATCAGTAGTTTTCTGCCACTGGAGCATTCAAGTGTAGTGGGAAGTTTCAGTGTTTCTCATTTCACATTTAAGCTATGATACATTTCAGCTGCTATCAGTGCTTTCCTACCTAGTTCAATATTTCATATCTCCTACACCTCAAGTTAAATGTGCTCCAGTGCATTCACTATAACTTACAATTCACAGGTGCAAAATCAAGATGTTAAAAAATTACAATAAATGCTTCACAGAATAGAGAACACCAGCTTTTCGTACAGTATATAGTGGTGATAGAAATTAAGTGAACCCAGGCATTAATGTATAAACATCTTAAACCATGTTCAAACCATCAAAATTACAACTAGGAAGAGTCCATTTTAACTAACACATGTATCACTGCATTGTTATTTTTCAAACATAGTAAATCAAAACTTTTTGGCTGTAGCAATATGTGACCCCCTTGGCTAAAGACATCAAAAAGTTAGAGTTAGCAAACCCGGGGCCAGATGTATAAATGGCACATATATACATAAACCATGCATGCTCCTTTTCTCCAGACATAAACCACTATGTATAAACAGAATGTGCAGGAAGCATGTATGTCCCTCACACGTGCTTCAGACCAAAGGCATGCCCAACTAACAATCCTCCAGTCATTCTAATTCTTTGCAACACAAGCGCTTAAAAATCTTACATACATTTAAGACAATGGATTTTGGGGAGGGAGTATTCTTATTAAAAAAAAAACTTTTTTAATGATTCTGAGGTAAAACTATTGAAATTGAATGCCATATTAGTTGTTATTCTATTATACAATTAAATAAAATTATAAAAGTAAAAATGAAACTGTCTAATGTCTTTGTAATTGCATCAGAACTTTAGGTCAGACATTTTTGCATCCATAATTCATTATTTTATTCTATAGATTACAGAAGGATATCTAGAACTATAGCCACTTGCAGAATTTTTTGTCCACCTAGAGTCTTGACATTTGAAATATGCTTTCGGTCCAAGGCTATGGTTCAAAAAAACTGAAAAGAATTTCAAATAATATACAATATGATGTGCTGGACATAAGTGAAATCAAATAATAAAATATTTATGTTTGAACAACCCACACACTTAATTTTACTGTTGATGATGCATTCAATTTGGAATGGATAATTAATGATGCCTTGGCTGATCCCATGTGAATATAATAATCTCATGATATTCACTTGATATCAGCCAAGGAATTAAACTGTATGCAATTTATTTTACACTATGATATAGTAGTTGCCATGTCTAATACGTTTTTATATGCTAATTATTAAAGGCGTGTCTGCATCTATTTAGGACTAAAAGTGGAAGTACCAAAAAGTTCCTGTACGTGCACCCAGTTCTACAATGACTGAGGGGAAAATGAATTCCCAAGTTCATGTAAATAGTCTGTCTTTTACAGGTAGGCCACATGTTGAGAATGTAATATTTACAGCATGTTACGTGCATAAATGACTTGTGTGAGAGTGTTTCATATAAAACTGAGAATAATTCACACGCCTATCAGAGGTCCTTTAGGAAATACATAAGCAGTTATGCGCATACACACCTGTGAAATACACACACATATAGCCTACATGAGAATTATCTTAACATACCTGTGCAGATTCTCAGTCATCCAGGTCATAGTAAGCTGAAAAAACTTAGAAAAAGTCAACTGGACTACATTTCTAGGTCAAAGATGTTTCACCTCTCATCCAAGAGGCTTCATCAGTTCTGATCTTAACATAACATATCTTAACATACTCCCATACATAAATCTCTGTTTCCAATACTGACACGAATTTCTCTTCATGAACTACACAACAGCAACAGTATACCAGCAGAAACTTTATTTACCTGGGTGAAGAATTTACTTCTTAGGCAGTCGGTCCAAAGTCACCACCGCACTGCATTGGCAGGACTTCTCTTCTGCCTTCAAGTGCGTGTTTGTGACTGATGTGGTGCTGAATCCAAATATGCCATCTGTTTTTGTCCAACACATCAGGTTTCCAAGATATAAGATATTCTATATTTGCGAAAAAATGGTAATTTCATGCTCATAGTGAAAGAAATAGACATAGAGAGATACAATAAGTTTATTAGTTTAGATTGAGCTACAGCTGCATTAATTTCCTCTTCTTTGACATTCTATGATGCTCAGCGTTTGGAACATCCCTCAAGCTCCAACAGTAATCGGCCATCATATTGGAGTCCCATCTGCCTTGGTTCTTCCATTACTTTAATGTCTTGATGAAAGCATTCACCTTGTTCTTCACTAACATCACCCAGGTTCTCTGGAAACTCACTCAACTGACAATGTAAGTAATGCAACTTGATGCTCATTTTACATTCAAGTGATTGAAAACTCAAGAGCAGTTCCTCCACAATCTCTTGGTAGCTGTCAGCTTTCCTGTTTCCAAGGAATTTCTTTAACACATCAGAGAAGGCATTCCAAGCTCTAGCCACCGCTGTGTTCATTGTTGTCACAAAGTGGGCAAAGTGAGGAGTGTTCTTATCTGAGGTCCATCAAATATTCCTGCCTTTTTCTTCTCGTCACTCAGACTTGGAAAGATTTAACATATATGGCAGAAGCAGTCTCCACTGTGATCCAGGGCTTTGACAAATTGTTTCATCAAACCAAGTTTTATGTGCAGTGGAGGTAGGACAATCCTTTTTCTCTGAACAAGAGGATCATTAATGATGTTCTTGACACCAGGTGTTAAACTCCTTCTGGGTGGCCATTCTGTTTTCACCCAGTGGTCTGCTGTAGCCCTACTGTCCCAGTAGCACAAGAAACTGGGATATTTTGTGCAACCTGCTTGCTCACCCAGCAGAAAGTTGCCCTTTTCAAATCCACACAAATTAACCAGCCATGTACCTGATATTGCAACCTCTCCAAAACAAACTTGATGCTGGCATATTCTTCTTTCATCTTTACCAAGTGCCGTCCACTTTAAATGGTTTTGTTACAGCACCAGATTTCTGTCATATTACCAGTGCCTGTAAATCAGACTTTTTTAAGCATAACCATAAGCAGAAACTTTATTGCCAAGTATTATCAAAAATACAAGGGGCAGCATGGTGCATTGCCTCACAGCAAGAAGGTTTCAGTTTTGGGGCCTTTTTGTGCGGAGTTTGCATGTTCTCCCTGTGCTTGCGTGGGTTCTTTCTGGGTACTCCGGCTTCCTCCCACAATGTCAAAGACATTCAGGTTGGGTAGCCCACTTTAGTGCATATATATCCCAATTTGGATTACGTAAGGAAGGGCATCCGGTGTAAAAGAAAAACATGTATACATGCGAACAGTTGATTTGCTGTGGCGACCCCTAACGGGAACAGCCAAAAGTAGTAGTATTAGATTATCAAAAATACAAAGAATTTGACTCCAGCCCAATGACCCCTGATGCGCACAGCAATAAAAACTAAACAAATGCAAAATATATACAAGT